AACGGATAAGATTATCTAAACTATTTCTATTTCCAAAATATCTGAATAATGAGAGAAAATATGATAAACTGTTTTCAAAATAGTAAGTGTATACATTCTTAATATTTGACAGAACTCCTTTTTAACTGTATGAATGGAAAACCATCTGGATATTCTTCAATAAGGTTTTTTTCTGTAATGCTAGTCCATTCCTCCTGACAGAACTGATGTAACTGAGTCAGGTTTGCAGTCCACCTTGCTCACGCACATTTTCATCAGCTCTAACCACAAATTTTGTATGAGGGTAATTTCTCGGTATGATTGTGCTCTTTGCCCATTTGGAAGACCCATTTGTGGCCAACTTCCTGGCAGATGTCTTCAGATGTTGCTACAATATTTCCACATAATGGTCTTTCATGATGATGACATGTATTTTTGTGAAGTACACCAATGTCTTCGGCAGCAGTGGCATTCTCACAAGATACTGCGACACACATACTTCATTGTTCTGATGCTGTTCTTAGGCTTGAAGCGTCCTCTTTTTTTCCTGCTAATGCAGTCATCCCAAGGCGAAGTGAACTAAGCAGCTGTTCAGGGCCCCCAGGCTTTGAGGGGCCTCTCATAAATGCTTGAATTTTAGCACACACCATATTGTAATATTTGTTAATTGAGAATAGTTTTACATTTTATTTATTTGACTACTTCAACGTAGATAATTAAAAAGTTTTAAACAATTTTTGTCATGTAAACTTATGATATAAAAGAATCGGTGTGTTTATGTTATGAAAGTGTAAAAAATGTGTTTGAGCATTGCTTTGTTCAAAAGTACATCTCATCAAATAATAACTGATTACCTACCATTGCCTTTAAGATAAATAAATTAAACTTATATTCCTCATATTCCACTAAATAAATGTTGAAATGCTGTTGGTGGTTGTGATGATTTTCATAGGACGAGGGGGTCATCACACCAAATTCTTCCTAAGGCTGTCATGGTGTGTGTTTGTTGAGTGGAGCCAAATGCAGATAATCTGAGGCGACAAGTTGATTAGATTAGATTTAACTGAAATAATAATGTGAACAAAGACTAAGAAGGACTGAACTGAAATACAACAGAAATAAAAGCAATCAAATCAAAGCGAAAGAGACTAAGGAACACAGAATAACAAACAACCCAAGATCCTAACAAAAGATCCAAACAACCTTGGGTCATCCCTGCCCAATTGCTTCAGTGATTATTATTTTTTATCATATCAGAAAATATATCTTAAAAATGTACAATTCTCTTTTCTATCTTTGTGCATTTACAAACTAAAATCAGAGTTCTTATGTTTCTTATAGAGTAATGGCTTCTGCTTCATTGAATGACCTTTCAACCCAGGTATGTGCAGGACTTGTTTCACTATGGTTAATTCCACTCTCTTATAATGTTCAGCAGGTCTCTCTACAACGGTTATTCTGTTGATCTTAGGCTAATACACATAATTCACACAGAAACACCTTCATCTCTGAGACACAGAACCTGCCTCCTTTCTGAATGCAATCAGGGCAAAGCATTCCTTACAAAGAGGTTTACAAAGCTATGAAATCCTCATCTAGGCTTTCCAAATTGTTTACAGGCATGCATGCATGTGTGAGTGTGTGTATTAACTGCTTAAAAATCTTTCCTACTGGCCGTTATTTAAGAAGCAGTAGCACAACTGACTGGAAGATGTCATCACATTATAATCTTTTTCCCTCCACCTCCTTCCATCTCATATAACACCTATTTATTGCTACCACAGCCTTTCATTATTTATCTGCTTCCTTTGACATTTGGATTGTAAAAATCTCTTTTTCTACTCTCTTGTCTTCTCTGCTCTGCTCTCCTCTGCTCCCTTCCACTCCCCCGATGGCCAGAGGGCACAATCACACAACCTGAAAGCCAATCAAGGAGCTTATTAAACATGACACTCCCTGAGCACACTCAATATAGACGAAGGACACACGCTCTAAGGTCTTTGCGCCAATTAGGAAAATCAGATCAATCACACCAGTCAATGTGAACCCTTACTGCCACGCATTATCTCCTCCAGTCACTAAGCCGCCTCGCCTCGCTTTGAAAATGCATCTGAGCCCCACGCACCAGCACTGCCTGTTGCACACAATAATGCACAGCTTGTCTCAAAATAAACAAGGAAGAGACAGTTGGCGTCGACACACATGCATGCGCTCGCACTGCACTCCAGAAAGCTACTCATCATAATTTAGTAGCAGCATTAGACACTGAGGGACAATAAAACTCTGTCTAGAATCCAAGACAAAAAAAAAAAAAAATAAGTTTCACATTTCTCCACTCAAGGGGCACACATGGCCACATATTCTCAGTACTGCTGAGCTGCTGCCAATCCTTTCAATTTTACTTTTCAAAATTCTGGTAATTCACTTTTTGTGTAATGACAAAAATCATTATACATTTGTATGTATCAATATCAACAGATGAGATTTTTGACATAAATTATATTGATTTTATAATGCTGAGCTTGTGATTCCTCACACAAGAGTGAGGAGAAATTAGTAGAAATTAGTTTTGGGGTATGTCTCCACGAGCTTAGCAAATTCTCGATATCAGACCTTCTGTTCATTATTTTTTCTAAAACAACTCAATCGCAGTCAGACTGGAAAAAGAGCATCTACAAACATCAGTTTTCAATTTTCAGTACAGACTCTCAATTAGATTTAAGTCTGGACTGTGGCTGGGCCTTTTGACTCTATGATATGCTCTGATTGAAATCATTCTATGATCTGTAAGCTTTACATTTTCCGATAAAGATGCCGCTACCGTCCTTCACCAAGTTGTGATTTCTAATGTTAGTTTTTCCCCACATATAATGTAAAGTATGGATGCAGGGCAGCTTGCAGGCAGAAGTTGTTTTTTGTGTGTTTTTTTATGGTTTGCTTTTTGCAATAGCCCTTTTTCAACATATTTTTTTGTTTTGTTTTTTTGTAGCAGGCAACTCTCAGGACAATGCAAGTTTTCTATGCTGAAAATGTCAAAGAGTTCACAGGGGAATTGTCCTACTAGCTGTCTACAACGTCTTCACACAGTTTTATGTGACATATTCACCTTGTGCAGAATATACCCCATACTGCATCTAAGTGTTAGGCTTTAATTAAACTAATTGAGTTAATTAAAAGTCACCCCTAGAAATTTGCACTTATTTCTACCTTAATAGGAAGTGCTGGATCATCTCCTAAAATCTCCTCAAAAAATATTTTTTATGCCACCTTTATTCCCTGAAAGTACAGGGCATCATGGAAAATATATGTATATAAATTGAAACATATATATTCATGTTCTTGGAGGAGTGAAGCTCCATCTCCTCTGCTGATAACCCCTCTACACTTGCCTCTCAAGTAGCTGATGTAGTGCAACATGAAAAAAAAAACGACGTTTTAAGGTTGTGTCAAAAGCTTGTTGAGACATAGTAATAGGGCTGCTCATCTGGTGATGATGAAAAAGAGAGATCTGCTCAAAAGATCTAATTTCAGAGTCAAAGCTTGGAGTGCTGCAGGCAAATCTTAAGCCCAGATTCCCAAAGAGCACCAGCTCCCCCTACAGACAGGCTCAGAGTGATCAACATTTACAGGAGAATTTAAATCAGGCTCAGCTGTTCAACAACCACTGCCCTTTGACTGTTCATTAAAAAATACAATAAAATCCTAAATCAAAACTATTTGATTCTTCTACTTTCTTCAAAACAGACAGTTACTTATATGCTTTAAAACAAGAATAGATAACCAAGTCCCCAGGCTTTTTAAATGTTTTTCTAAGGATAAGTTGTAAGGACATAAAGGTAAATGTGACTCAGAACGTCACATGACTTTGCTATAATTTCAATCATGACTTGTGAAAATACTGAAATTACTTTTATATTGTATTTAAGTTGTTCATTCATCTTCCTTGGTCTGTACTTTGACATTTGAAGTAAATTATACAACTTTTTATCTGTGTACATCGCTTTAAATATAACTGATGTTTAATTGAAGGCAATGTCAGGTATTGACCCAAATGGGGTTTGAGATGGTGATAGTCGTAAAGCAGTTGCAAAGAGTAGCCTGCAGCTCTCTCCGGAGCTGCAACGGTACTGTTTTTATATTAGTGGACTTACACATTGGGCTTTTTCCTGCCATGCAACCGACTTGAGATGTACGCCATCTCTATCAATCAGAACTAATGAAAAAGTAACAACCAACAAGAAATTAAAGAGAAATTTGGACAAAATACTGGTCATACATATGCTGCTTCTAATGTGCTATTGTGTTATCATTAAAATACTGCAGAACGTTCTCTGCATTGCACATCCCAAATTGTTTTGATATTTTATTCTCATAAATTATGTAGGAAGAAGAGCAAGGTCTCTCTGCAACGCAAAATATTTTATTTTCCCAGAAAATTTAAGAGCAGGGCTTTACTGAGTTGCATAGTAGACATTCGGTCACTTCAACACCTCAATTAGTCTTTCTCTCTGGAGATAGTTTTCACTTTGTGGGTCTTCCATAGATATTCCAGTTTTCTTCTCACAACTTATAAACACCAACAATGAGTTAATTGGAAAACCCTTACTGCCTTGAATGTTCATAATTACTCTTATAAAAATATAGGTCATATCTATTGTTTCAGCAAAATGTTGCCAGCCTCTGTACACTTTGCTCTTCAGCATACCCCGCTCTCAGATTTTACCACTGCATGGCTAAGTTGTTGTCATTGTCAGTCTCTTACATTTTGTTTTGATACCAGATATTGATGGATGGATGATTTATCAGCATTGGCTGTAATGTCCTTTTCTATCCGGCAGATGGCACAATCACACCAGAAACAAGTATTATTCGGTTTTCCACGGTGACTAGTTACTACCACAAATTTGTTAAAATCTCACAAACTACACCGTTCAGTAAGAGGTAAATCGGGAAATTTCTAACTATTGGTCACGCATCGCTGTGTGTAACCTCGTCAAATACTCCAAAAAGTAACGAAAGGAGAAGAAAGAATATATTAATTTATTTGCATTATATGAAAAAAAGTCTCACTGCTATAAAAACACATGACAAACTCCCATATATTACATGTCCACATGATATGTTTCTTTTGATATAAGTCTTGAAGACAGCTTGGCAGGTATCCTGATCAAACTTGTGCAGGGTGTGGTAAGACCAAAAACGAAGGACGACCGGAGTGAGCCAGCTTCACACAGCCGACCTGCCAAATAAGAAACAAAACACGTAATTAAATAGGGGGGATGGGGGAGAAATGCCCCATTAATGTATGCTTGTAATTGGTAATTCCCAAATACATTAAGCTGAACTCTGACGTCATATTACCATTTAAGCCAAGTCCAGCTTTTTCTGCGTCTCCGACAGTTTATCCTGCAGCCGCTTCTTCCTCCAGTCCAGGAACCTCCTCCTCATTCTGTTGGCCTGCCAGCCCGTCAAGAAACCCACAGCGAAAGAAACCGCCACCGCGACCTGCAAGGTCCTCTCCGACACGTCTCCCATGTTCACCTCTGGCAGCTCGATGGGCGGCAGGATACCGGAAATGACGACTTTCTACGCAACGCGACGTAAGTGTCTTTTCAAAGTAAAAGTTATTTTACAGCTATTATTTTTGGCTTTACTCAAAAGTTACTGACAAAATTGGGGGATAAAAAAAAACTTTTATACTAGTAATTGCAATTATACGTTATTAGTTAAACTGCCATTTTATAAAATTTCAATTGAATCTGAGCACTTAACAATTTTGTCACAACTACAAACTTCAATAAATTTTATTGATATTTTATGTAATAATCAGAAACACAGTCGAAAGTGAGAAAAAGAAAGTCGTTTTCATTTTTTTAACAAATAAAAATGTATGTTAGCCTTTTTTTAATGCAGCCTCTCTTTGCTCTTATGCCCTTAAATACAACCTTTCCTTAAAACACCCAATTCTTTAAAAAACAAAAAACAATTCCTTTCATGACCTCACCTACTTAGTTAATGAAGTTCACCTGTGTGCACTTTGTTCTAGGTATGTTCTATTAAGAACAAAGCTCAATAGTGAACAAGCAGCATTACGAAGGCCAAGCAACACACCAGATAGGTCAGACATATACAGTAGCTATGGAGAGGTTTAAGGCAGGTTTAGGTTATAAAAGAAAACCACAACCATTGGAAAGTTCAAATATCACTCTTCAATCCACCACCCCAGAATCCAGGACCTCTTTGTTTCACAACAGGTCTATAGAGTGAGCTTGATAGAGTTTGCTGTGAAAGTGGAAAATAAGAACAATGAGAAGTCATAACTACCTTAACTAAATACAAATAACCAGAACCATATAGAAAGATAAAAAAAAACATGTTTAATCAAAAGTTAACTTTAAGTTCAACATATTTCACAAGTTTGCCTTGTACAGCATAAGATTAAGTTTAACCAGAAGTTTGTCATAGCATCACATGAGAAAACGATTAATGCCACTTAGCCTCTTTTAAAATTTTATAACCAATTATAAAATTTACTTACTTCTTCAGCAGAGGCATTTATACTCAGAATGGCATGAAACGAGGTACCATGTAACAAAAATGGCAAGCTATTAGGTTAGAATTAGACATTAATACAAGATATGATATAGTATGTTGAGTGTAGATGTAGTGGCAGCACCAAGTTACATGAGCTTTTTTTTTTTTCTTTCCTAATTTTAAAGGGAGTTCTTACTTGAGAAATACAGTACCACTGATCCATTTTGCTATCCAGTAGTTTATGGAGATAAAATGTTCACAGATCTTTTTTTTTTTTTTTTGTCTGTCGTCACTTGTTAGTGAACTAGTCAGACAACAGAAAAACCTGGATAATACACCAGCAGCTGTTCCCTGCCAGACAATTTCAGAATCAAAAAATTAAAAATATCTTTGTACAATTCCAACTTGGTCAAGAAAAAAGAAAGAAAGAAAATGTATTCAAACAAGCAGTTGGAGAACTGAGGAATACTGCTGAGTTTAAAAATGATAATGAGGTAAAACACTGTGACAAGTTTTTTGTAGACCGTTAGTGGAGCACTCCATGATTGTGATTATGGTTCGCTTAAATTAATGCTGCTTATAGTTAATGTTGGCTGACATTTGTATGTAGCAAAACTATTTGCTATTTAAAGCCACTCAAGTATTGCCGGTAAGTAAAAAAAGTTGTAAATAGTCCCAGTAAGTACATATAAAATGTTCAGTCAACAAAAAGTGGTTCAGATGCAGTGAAAGCACCAACGTTTAAATTTCACCTCATATTCAGGACACTGAGGTGATGTTTTTTTTCAGCCTTCAGTTCTCTTACAGGAAATTACTAGCGATTCTGTCTGAGCCTGTCGATGTGGTAACAGAGTTTGAGCGCAGGTCCCAGTTTCAGTCCCAGGTACTTCATCATCATCTCACTTTTCAGTAATAAGAGTGCGTCTCCATCTATTTCCTGAAACACAAACCACACCAAACAGATTAAAATCAATGCTTCTTTAACGCTTTGAAGAGATGGTTCATAAATGCTGAAGTAAGGTTCTTGTTGAAAGGTTACCCACAGAGAGCATCTCATCTTGAAGATAATTATGTTCCAGATTTACTGGATCTATAGGTTGAAGCTAACAGCGGGGCTAAAAGAGACCAAAACCAAAGTGGATTTCTACCATCTTAAAAGCCTCCAATCTCTGGTTTATGGCAAAGCTATTTTGTGAGCTTTTAAACAGTTGCTACATTTGCAATGGCCTTTTTTTGTGTGTGTCTTTTTTACACAGGAAATGGATGTAGGACACTGTTTGCCAATGATGGCTTTCCTGTTTGAAGCACCTACTCAGAACAGAAAATCTAAAGGGGTTGAAAATACTACAATATGTTTGCTTTTAACACAATTTTACTTTTATGTCGGACTGGAAATGCTTGAAATGTTTTCACTGTCTGTACCTTTTACACTGTAAGATTATTGTGGATACATCACCTCCTGCCTCCATTTCCTATGTAAATAATTATGTGTAAAAAAAAAAAGGAAGCTGCTTACAAAACTCTTTAAAGGTTCATTAAGTAGCATATGCAAAATACGCTACTTAAGCATATGATTTTATAATCTTTTGGAGTTTTAAGTCATTTTGAAAGAATAAATCTTGTTTGATGTTAACTAAACTAAGATGCTAGAAGCATTATTTTTTGACATTATTACATTAACTGTCTATGACCTTGTAACAAATGGTCACATCAAAAATCCTGACCTATTCCTTTAATAACATTTTTGTGATTTCTGATTAAAAGTAATCCTCTATCTGACAGTTTATGTTTATTTGTCTCGTTTTTTGCTTGTTTTTTTACGAGTTTTGCTTTGTGAAAAACTCCTTATTACTAAACTGGAAAACCGAAAACTAAAAGTCTGAACTCACATGTTTCCTGAAAGCCTCAGCATGGGGTGCCAGGGCTTGTGGGTCAGCTTCTTTGATGAACCACACTACGTCCTCTACACCCCAATTGGATGGGTCCTTCCCAGAAAGACGCTTGCCCTCTCCAACGTCTGGCAAGGGAGTGAGGGCTGTTTGACATGGAGAACACAAAAACAGCAAAAATGATGGGCCTAAGTATCATGAAAACACTAAAAAACGCCAATGATTTTTTTGGAGGATAAACAAACTACATTCTAGGCAAATATGAGTCTTAAAATTGCTCAAATTTTCTTTTAAATAATCTTTAACGTTAATAAGGATATCTAAAATGAAGCACATTGTGAACAAAGGAAGCAGCTTTGGCTGCACGTGGCAGGAAGGAAGTTGAACTGTGATTTAATATACTTGAAGGGCTAGATAGAAGTGAAAGAGACATGCAATGTGTCACATGTTTAAATAGAGAAATAAAGAAAAGCAAAAGCTATTTCATATGTACTAGTGAGAGTTGGTTCTGTTTTGCATTTCATCTTTTGAAATAGAGAGAAACACTGCCAGAGAATTCAAAATAAGAAATATGAATACAGACTTTAAAAATGATGCACAAATGCTTAAATTGTTTAGTAATTAGTCTAGAAAATCTTTGTAGACAATTAATAAAACATATATGATGACTCAAGATAAGGGGTGGGGATCACTATTCTCCCCTTTACCCTTTATCAAACGCTTTGTTACTGCTTATTGTTGGTTTATAACACATGTACAGCTGAAAGAATAAGTCAAATGACTACTTATTATTTCTTCAAAACAATAGTAAAAAATTTTTAAAAAAATAAAAAAAAACTTATAATGAGTGTATTAACAGCCTATTTTTCTCACCGGTTCTATTTCCATCCTGGAAAGTCGCCGGACTGGAAACTTGTCTGCATAAACCTATTGGAGTGGAGCAGCTATTACTACGGTAAATGTAAGAAGGCTTGGTTAGGTACTGCGATGCCATTATGTTGAATGCAGAGTCATTCAGATCTATGGAGTAGCGCTTGTCTGCAGGCGGGTCACATATGAAATCATCAGGCAGGGCTGTGTCTGCTGAGAAAAGGAAAACAGGAAGTTACTAAATAAGCATTTCACTTATTTAGTAATGTTTGTAATTCAGTTGGTTTAAAATTAACTAACCTGGAAGACAGAAGAAAAAAACTTAACAGGAGAAACTTCATTTAAATCCAAATGTGTGTAAATAAGTCAGTTGGGGAAACAAACAAATTATAAATTGAACCAAATCACCACTTTGGATTTCTGACCTTGATCTGCGCTCACATCTCAAAACAAATCTCGTTCTCAAGATATATGTGCCAATTTTCTCCTAGAAATTGAAAAGGCAAGTTTTTTGTTTATTTTTGGCAGAGACATCTTTTAACAAATGGTCATTTTTGGTTTTTATAAAAATACAAATGAACAAAGAAGAATAAAGACTTCTCCAACAAACTGATGATCTGGACCGTTATTCTGAAGAGCAACTGATTGAAGTTCCCAAAGGAACATGAAAAATTAGAATAGAGAAATCTTCCTACAAATCTTTTTTTTTCAATTAAATATCAAACTTGATTCAATTTTATAGGGCAGTGATAATTCTGGGGTCTAGAAAAACATAAAATTGTGTTTTTGTAATTTCTTCTGTGTAAGAATATGCATGACCAAATTAATTTATTTTATGGCTTTTTTATACAGAAATCAGTCTATTTCTTTATCTCAAACATATTTGAATATTATTTTGCTATTGTACTTCTGTACGGAGTTTCAGTTCTGTCTAAAATACGATTATCTAACTTTCCACAACATCAGACAGCAGTTTTTCTTTAAAAATAAAGAGCTAATCCTCAGGGCAGCTATCACAGCCCATTCTTTGTGTGGAAACAAAATGGAAGAGCCACAAACAGTAAATCCTCTGTATTTGTTTTCTTTGTGTCGACCAATTTTCAGCTTGTCGATAATGCAGATGCCTTCTGGTTTTGCCCGAGCGAGGCAGTTATGGATTTGCCAGACGGCGGATTTATAAGACGGGAAACACTCCACAGAGACGCCTCTGGATTACCTCAACAGCGTGCTCTGGCAAAGGTCAAACGTATTTTATTGTATTCAGAAAAATCAATT